GTCTTGTCCCTAGTGATTTTTTTCTTTGGTTTTGTTTTTAAGTTTCACCTCCTATTTAATTTTTAAAAGTCTTTAAAATTTAGCTTGCTAAGAGCGAGACCAAAAAGATCAACATTAAAATGAAATTTCATGAATGAAGTGATCTTTGAATTATTTGTTTCAGAAAATGTCTGGTGTGTATATTTGCCCCAAACAGTCTGGGTGGTGGATATCAATAAGACAGATTTCCCTACTTCATTTAAATGATATTATGTTTTGTAAATTGTGTTAATTTATAATTATTCCATTAATTATATTTGTCTATTCACTTGTACATTTCTATAGATTTATTTCTCCAATACACACACACACACACACACACACACACACACATATATGTAATTTTCACGTTTTTATCCCTTCATTGAGCCCAGCTTCTTGGTACCAATCTTATCCAGTTTAGACTATCTATCTACACTTATATTTATATCTGCTTTTATCTCACAAATGCTGGCAGGCTCAGGACGTTGCTCTAACTGAAGAGCTAGCTCTCTGCTCGCCCCTTGCTCCCTGGCACAGCCTCGTGCTGGTGGGCAGTGAGTCAGTTGCCCTGGGAAACATGGAGGAGGTTGAGGCTCCGAGTGTCAGGCCTTGCTTTGTGTTTAGATTTCTAACCTCTGAAGTGTTCTTGTGCTACTAGGTTGTTTATACAAACTCAGTGTAGGGATTGATTTTGGAGAGTCCAGCACTAGATGTCACAGGACTTACATATAACTGTGACTATATGTAAGGAGTATTGATAGTGCATAAAATACTGCCTGGTGGTATTCATCTGTGCAGGAAATGAAGGTAGTATTTTACTATCTTCTTTCCCCTGAGAAAGGGTTTCTCTGTGTTCCCGGCTTTTCTAGAACTTGCTCTATAGACCAGGCTGGCCTTGAACTCATAGCGATCCACCGGCCTCTGCCTCCCTGAGTGCTCTGATCAAAGGCATGTGCCACCACTGCCCAGCTGGATTTTGCTGTCTTAAAGTGCAAATAACCTACTCACAGCCTTAGCTCAAAACTTTTATTGATCTTGAAAAATTCCCCTGCCGATGTCTTTAGTCCTTGTTCTACCTTGTCATTTGTTTATTGATTCAGTACAGCAGACTCGTCGGGAAGAATGCTTATTCTATTTCATAGAGAATTACTATCTTTAAATACCAAGAATTAAGGCAAGAGTCACTTGGCCATGTCACACACGGAACACATAAGAGCAGGCCTTTCTCCTAGCCTTTTTCTGGGGAGTACAGAATTCAGTGGGGCTTCCCCACACTGGGCTGTGTAAAGCTCAGCCGTGCCTGTAAGTTCTACCTCTGCCTTTCCCCCACCCCCACCCCCGAGATAGGGTTTCTCTTTGTATAACAGCCCTGGTTTTCTGGAACCTGCTCTACAGACCAGGCTGGCTTCAAACTCACAGAGACCCGCCTCCGCCTCCCGAGTGCTGGGATTAAAAGTGTGCGCCACCACCACCTGGCCAGTGGAATTTATTTAATGACATTTTTGTTTGTAATAGCAGCTCTCTATACTTCATTCAATTTGTAAAAATCATGAAGATTGTACTACCGTCCCCAGACAGGTCATTCCATCAATGACTGACCCCTAGTCAGAAACAAAGGGCGCTTTTGAACAGGTGGTGTGTGTTGAGTTAAAAAGAAGGATGGAGAGTCAGTGAGGTGGCTCAGAGGGTCAGAACTTCTGCCGCCAAGGCTAAAGTCCTGAGTTCAACGTCAAGGCCCACACACAGGCATGAGGGGAGAACTCTCTCTTACGGGTTTGTCCAGTGTTCTCTACATACAACCAGGATACAGTCCTCAACAGTCACACATAGGATAAATAAAGAAATCCAGGAAAAACTAAGAAGAGAGAAAAGAGCTGGGGGACCCTCACACAGAGGAGAGGAGTCAGCCATGAAGATGGTCTCTGGGCTTCTGTCCTGAGCCGGTGGCCTGCATCACTCTGTCCTGAGCCAGGCTGTGCCCCTCTGTCCTGAGTCAGCCTGCACCCCTCTGTCCTGAGCTTGTGGCCTACATCCCTCTGTCCTGAGTCAGCCTCCACCCCTCTGTCCTGAGCCGGTGGCTTGCATCCCTCTCTCCTGAGCCGGTGGCCTGTGCCTTCTGTCCTGAGTCGGCCTGTGTCCCTCTGTTCTGAGCCTGTGGCCTGCATCCCTCTGTCCTGAGCTAGTCTGCCCCTCTGTCCTGAGCTCTTGGCTTTCTTATATTGCAGTATTTTCATGATTTTGATAGGAATATTTCTATGTATATAGTGTATGAAATCACAAACTTGTTGGTAAAGCCAGTATATTCTCCACTGTAAACGATTACTCTTCCGTAATTATCCCTATGGTGTTTTCAAATTTTAGCAATTATGTGAACATTCCATAGCCTTCTCTTTTGAGCAAGCCCCATCTATGGGATGGCTTTTTGTGGGCACAGCTTGCCTGAACCTTTTACATCATATACACACCCTCTACCCATGACTGCCCGGGAGTGTGGGGATGTGCGAGATCTGTGAGGTCAAGACTTTGCGATGAAGGCTTAATTAAGGATGTGGTCCAGGGACTAATTGCTAAGCCTCTCAAAAAAAAAAAAATCTGTGCATTGTCTGTCTTTGGAGTGAACGACTATAACCTAAAACAAGAGAAAACGTAAAGCTTCCTTTGGACGTTTGCTCTAGAACATCCCTTTCTGTTAGACCCTTTGTGGCCCATTCTTTGTCCAATCATGGAGTTAAACCCAAGTTCCTCTCCTGCTGCTGTCTTTGATGGGCGAAAGTCGGATGCCCAGAGCCTGGCTCCTCACTGTCATCCCGAATGTGAAAAGTTGCTGCCTGTTCTTGTTTTTCCTCTTGCTAAATACACCGTGGTCTTTGTTTTTCTCTTGCGATCGTCTCTTCCTCCTCTCCTCCCATCATGCTCTGCTCCTCCGTCTGGAGAGAGAAGGACTACTGACTGTCAGTAACCCCTCCTTCCCTCAGTGCCACCGTCCGAGCAGATAGTAGAATTCTCCTAAGTTTAAATGCAGCGGCACCTCCGGGGTGAGCACTTCCCTGTGAATTCTTGGCCAGGGAGGACCCTAAACAAGACAGTTGGTAGCTACTATTGTTGGTTTTCCACCAGCACTAAATGGTGTGACAACCATAAGACAGATAAATCAGGCAGGAACTGAGCTGGAAGCGTCCTCCCTGCTGGCTGACCCTCACCGGCCCAGAAGGTGCCATACAGGCTGTCGGAAGAGTGGAAGAGTCCTCGGCAGCCTCACTCACCCGCTGGGGTCCTGGGCCAGGCCAGGAAGCTGCTGTTGCTGTTGCTGTTTTGCTCCATGCATGTGAAATACCCACCAAATGGCCGTCTACAAGCTGTCAATTCAGCGCTCCCTTCCTCTTTGGTCAGAGAAACTTCTCTGCGGTGAACAGAGCCTCAGAACTGGTTCACGAGTAGTGAAGAGGATCCAGGGGGGAGATCCAGGAGCACTGGGAAGCTCCAGGGCTGTACCGAATTAACGACATGCTAGCAGTTTTTAAAGTAGCTCTGATTCTAGCCTTTAAAAAAACTAGGATGAGCCATCATTTCTCATCTAATCCGTTCTCATCTCTGAGTGTACTCAAGCATACGGGGCGACACCCTGTCAACAGAACTCTTTGAATATCTCTTCCACATGCGTTCTGTTGGGTAGCAGATATTCCTGAAGCTCAGGTCTCTTTCTCCGTGCTGGGGGACACAAGTCTTGAATGTAGCTCCTGGCCCTGTTTTTTGTTTGTTTGTTTTGTTTTGTATTTTGAGACAGGGTTTCTCTGTAGCTTTGGAACCTGTCCTGGAACTAGCTCTTGTAGACCAGGCTGGTCTCGAGCTCAGAAATCTGCCTGCTTCTGCTTCCAGAGTGCTGGAATTAAAGGCGTGCACCACCACCGCCAGGCCCTGTTATTTCTAAACTGCCAGAGTTAGGACAACTCTCAGCTCTACTCTTCTCTTCCATCTTTTCTCCCCTCCCCTTCCCCCTTTTTTCTGCTCCCTTTCTTCCCCTCCCTTCCTCCCTCTCTCCTTTCCTGTTGGCTTAACCAAGAATCTTAAACTTGTAGAAGTCTTTGTCCTGTAAGTAGAAGGCAGCTCTGAGGAGGAAAGCAAGTGTCTGTGGATAAGTCATTAGTGGCGCTGAGTCTCCAGAGAGAGAGAGCTTCCCCAGTCAGTGTAGCACTGACCATGACAGGGTAGGTGATGTGGGCCAGCTGACGTGGCTGCTTTATCTGTAAGATGGAAGTAAGGTGCTCAATAGAGTTTCCCAGAACACACAGCAAAGTTCCAAATGGGTGGATAGCCATGTTACAACTTCGATGATTAGAATATGATTTAAACATTTTATTAAGTTGAAAATAATTTAGAACATGGCTAGATTTGTCAAAATGATTGATTCTAATATTCTTGGGAGTGGATTTGCCAAAAATCTTTACCCAGAGTCACTCCAATGAGAGGAGATCTTGTAAGAGTAGCCATGCCTCTGCAGTGAGGACAGGGCCTTCTTAATTCATGGTACCCCGAATCTACAGTTCCAGCTCGAGCTGTGTGAGTGATAGGGTCTCAGAGCAGTGTTCTGAAATGGTGGGAAGGCAATGACCTTCACTCAGCCCCAGGCTTAGCATGGATTGGTTGGCATGGTAGAGTCGAGGGTCTCGTAGCAAGATGCCATCTTCATTCCACGCCATGTCTCGTTCCCAAGAGGAGGCTAACGTGAACATTTCTGTGCCTGTAATGTTTGTGAATTCTGATGCCAAACGTGCATTTCATGTAAAGCGGGAACAAGACTTGGCTTTAGGTTCCCTGTCTGCTCCCCATGAAAGCTTGCATCACCCGCATCTTTTCCTGTGCCTGGCTCCCAGACTTTATGGGGCCTAATTAGGTAACACTCTGACTCTGCTCTGGAGCCTTGTAGATATTGGGCAAAGGCGGGGATCATCACCTAAATTGTCATCTTTTCTTCTTCCTAGAGTCTGTGTGTGTTCACACCGCCCGGAATGAAGGAAGGTCAACCCCGGCTTATCCCTGCCGGACCCATCACCCAGGGCACCACCATCTCTGCTTATGTGGCCAAGTCCAGAAAAACGCTGCTTGTGGAGGACATCCTTGGGGTAGGGCGCTTTGACTCTCATGCTCTCAGGGTTTAATTGAAAAGAGGATACATTATTTTGATCTTAATTTGTTTCAAAATGAATTATAAATGCGTTAAAAGAAGATGCAGATCAATGAACGAATTTGCTCATAGTTTAGCTTTTATGTTCAGAAAAATCACACCAGTTGTGCTTGCTGTGAGATGGCGCTCTTATTTCAGCACACGCCACCATGGCTAACCAGAATAAGATGTCAGTAGCTATGCGAATAGCCAGCGCCTGCCTGGTGAGTCATGTCAACGCTGCTGCAGGACCGACTGTCCCACGTGAAGGGTGTCCTTCAGTGGCCAGTTCTTGGGAGTCTAAGGTTGGCCATTCTGTTGAGGCAGGCTTGTAGGCTTCTGGGTAATAAAAGACAGAAGCCAGCTGGCCATGAGTCAGGTGTGGCTACTTTCCAGCCACCTCAAGTCTGCTGGTTCTTCTCGCTCCCCACCTGTGAGGCCAGCATGGCAGAGTCTGATGTCAGGTCTCCAACCACTGTTGGCGTCTCGTTCCCTGCCTTCCACCAGCCAGAGTAGCAATCACAGGAGCAGGCCTGCACCCTTCCTGAGCCTCCTCAGTGACAGAGGGTACCAGCAAAGATGTGGCTGCCAAGAGAGATGACAGACAGATCCTCGGTGCAGTCTCTCAAGTGTGTTCAGGCAGATGTCTGATGAATGTCACTGCAGGGGGTGTAGGCTTCATAGGTGACAAATACACACAGAAACACACACAGAAGGAGCTTGTTCTGTGAAACGGTTGAACCGGAGACTTGGAACCTGGCTTCTGTTTTTTTGGGTTTTGGTTTATATTTTTTTCTGTCAATGATTTACCTAGAACGAATTAAGTGTTGCTTTATTGAAGAAGAAAGAAAGGAAGGGTCTAAAGTGGGGGTGGAGGAGGCAGGAAGAATCATCTGAAAATGCTCTGTCCTGGGTGCAACCGTTCAAAGACTGGAAGCCACATGAACACATTCACATCTCTCTTGATTCAGGAAGGGTTTTCTGGGTTCCATTCGCTTCCCGCAGATGGTAGAAACCAAGTGTATAGAATTGCCGTCTTGATAGTAATCATTTTCTTTGCCCTGTTCTGGCTTGTAGAAGTTTTAGCTAAGATAGAATATTATTAAGTCAAACCCACTTTAATTGTAATGATAACTGGTTGATAATGGATGACTTGAAAGCATACTTTGGGCTCTGGAAGTTCAACTCAGATGAAATAGTCAACATGACCTTAAACACAGAAGGGAAGGCATGTTTGTGTACACATGTGTAAACATGGTGCTTGCCTGTGCATACACCTGCAAAGCCTGGGGTGGTTCTGGCAGAGCAGGTGAGGGGACCAGTGCCAGACTTGGTGGTAGCCCTTCTCACTCTCACGTGAACTGACAGCCGCTGTTCACGCTTAACGCGTGTACACGCAAAGCTAGGATGCTCAGGTCCGAGTCTTCTCTCCTTTGACTTTCAGGATGAGCGGTTTCCAAGAGGCACAGGTCTGGAATCAGGAACTCGAATCCAGTCTGTTCTTTGCTTGCCCATCGTCACTGCCATTGGAGACTTGATCGGCATTCTTGAGCTGTACAGGCACTGGGGCAAGGAGGCCTTCTGTCTCAGTCACCAGGAGGTGAGGCTCAAACACTACCCCCGGGGCTGGAGAGGTGGCCCAGGGCTTCAGAGCACTTGCTCTTCTCACAGAGGACTGGGTTCATTTCCCAGCACCCAAATGGTAGCTCACAACTGTCTGTAACTCCAGCCAGGGGCTTAGACACCCTCTTCTGGCAAGCACTCATGTGGCATGCAGACAAAAAAACCTGTACTGTGAGTTAAAATGTGCATTTAAAAAACAGTTTAAAAATGTCTTTTGGTCTCCTGCCCTCACTGGTGGCACCTGCCAGTGCTAAGTGCATGCATGAATGGATGTGCAAACGTGATGGATATGCATACATGTATAGATGTGCATATGTGAATGGATGTGCATACGTGAATGAATGTGCATGCCTGAATGGATGTGCATACGTGAATAGATGTGCATATGTGAATGTATGTGAATACATGAATGGATGTGCATACGTGAATGGATGTGCATATATAAATGGATGTGCATACGTGAATGGATGTGCATGCGTGATGGATGTGCATACATGAGTAGATGTGCATGTGTGATGGATGTGCACACGTGAATGGATGTGCATACATGAATGGATGTGCATACGTGATGGATGTGCATACGTGATGGATGTGCATGCGTGATGGATGTGCACACGTGAATGGATGTGCACACGTGAATGGATGTGCATACATGAATAGATGTGCATGTGTGATGGATGTGCATACACGAATGGATGTGCATGTGTGAATGGATGTGCACACGTGAATGGATGTGCATGTGTGATGGATGTGCATACACGAATGGATGTGCATACGTAAATGGATGTGCATACGTGAATAGATGTGCATGTGTGATGGATGTGCATACGTGAATAGATGTGCATGTGTGATGGATGTGCACATGTGAATGGATGTGCATGCGTGAATGGATGTGCACACGTGAATGGATGTGCACACGTGAATGGATGTGCATATGTGGTGCATACGTGAATAGTTGTGCATACGTGAATGGATAGGGAAGTCACTGTTTGCCTGACTGTGTTTGGCTGCAAACAGTAGCGTATTCTTAAAAACCTGTTTTCTTGAGCAGCAGTTTTTAGAGGAGACTGGCTAAATTAGAAATACACTCTTTTTTTTCTGTATCAAAACATCTTAACCAAAAATGTGCTTCGGCGAATATGAAGCCAAGCGCAGGATGGCATCCTGGCTGTCTGTGTCTTCCTGAATGTGTCCTCTTCCTTGGTTATGTGCTCATGCCATGCTCTGGTTGCAGTTGCTTCACAAGCACTAAACACACAGCATCACCACCACGCGCCTCTCTATGGCAGATAGATCAGTCCCTGCAAGTGGGTCTGGCTTCACCCACTTCCTGAATGACCAAGCCCTTGTTTCCAGGGATGTCCTGTGCAAAGAAGTCTTGCCTTCCTGTGGGTGGAGTCCGGGCCCTGTCACCTCATAGCACCTGGCCCAAGTGCCTGCGCATGGGACCTTTGTCCTTCCTTCTGTCCTGCTGTGTGCTCCCACGGCTCCTATGACCATTGTTTCCACTGGACAGGACACCAGTATACATAGGCACAGTGTCCTGTCCAGCCTCGCTCTTACTTCCTCCTTTGTAGCCCCTAGAGCTAGCTAGCACCTGTGCCCAGGAAGGACGTGCAGAGTGGAAGACAGTAGCAGAAGTGGACTCTGTGCTGGAGGCCGGGTGGGGGTGGGGTGGGGAGTAGGATCGGTGGACAATGCAAGGATCTGAGGGGGTGCCCTGGCACCCCTTCATAAAAACTACATGTGGCAATATGTGTCTGTAGTCAGTCCTGGGGAGCAGAGACAGGAGAGTCCGTGGGACTATGTTCTGCCAGTGCAGCCCAATTGCTGCTCTCTAGACTGGTGAGATCTTGCCTCAGTGGAGGTAGACGTTTCTGAGGTTTCTCTCTGGCCTTCACACGTGTGTGCATTTGCGCACATATGAGACACATGGAAATAAAAATGGAAACATGGAATATAGCCTTCAGTCCTCGGATGCATAGAGTATACATAGGCACAGTTTTCTGCCCTCTTAGGGACACCACACAGGCTTAAAGAGGCAATTAGAGGTATTCCAATTAAATTTTTGTCACCCAGAAAAATATTATTTAATATTAAAAGAAGATAATGTAGCCAACTGAGATGGCTCGGCAGGTAATGGCTTGCTGCGGAAACCCGATGGCCTGCGATCAAGTTTGTCTGACATGCGCCTATGTGTGTTTTTTAGGTCGCAACTGCCAATCTTGCTTGGGCTTCCGTAGCAATACACCAGGTGCAGGTAAGTCCAGGGGCGTTCTCACAAGGGCATCCCAAGGCAGCAGTAGTGGAGGCTAGAGTCGAGGGCAGTAAGCCATCCCCAGCTTTGGTTTTGGATGTAATATTTTATATCTGAACAATGTCATCTATGTAACCCTTATGCTCATTTGTAAGTCATCGTAAATCTCTTGGTGCAGGTACATATGTGTTGTTCTTTACATGACAAGAAGAGAATTGTAATTTCAGGGTGATGGCAAAAGTAGTAGGGTCTCCTGGGGCCACAGAGTGTGTTGGGCACTTCCCGGATTTGGAGGTGGAAGGGGGTGTGTAACTCATGAGGGTGGAGAGTGTCTGCGCTGCTCACAGCTCCTTGCCTCAGTGAGAGACTGTGTGTCCCAGGTGGGAGAGCTGTGCAGCCATGATGTGAGAGAATAAACACTCTGAACAGGGGTTAGCATGTAGCATTTTTCAAGAAGACCAACAGCGATTGTCTAAACAGTGCTCTCGGGTCTGCTCCTAAGTCATCAGAGCTCCCGGATGACTAGAAACTGTTGTCTGTGTGGCAGGTGTGCAGAGGTCTCGCCAAACAGACCGAACTGAATGACTTCCTGCTCGATGTATCAAAGTAAGTGTTGTACCTGACCTTGGGGGCAGAGGTGTGAAGCACAGGTCCCCAGGGTGACATCTCCATCTGCTGCACGAGGCATGCAAACATTCAGGGGAGAGTTCTTTGTCACTTTGTGGATTAGAGAATTGCATCTTTGTCTGTGTATGTAGTGATCTTAGTCTGACATTTATTCTGAAAGCAGAAGATGCTGCCACTGATTTCTCTAACCTTTTCCAAGATGTGTTCTCTGGCATTTTCTAACAAGGTCACTCTACACAGCATCGTTAACAATGCCATCGCATTTCTGCTGTGCCGGTTGTGATTATGAGAAAACATTCCGTTTCTCTGAAGCTTCACCTAAATCACCTCCCCGGGTTGGTAGTGAAAGCTATTACAGATATTTATTAAATTATAGGTTTGTGTTGACTTTGCATTCTACAGGGGAGACCTTCTGTCTATACAGCCTACCTCATTAATAACAAAGCCTTAAAGCTCAGGATATGGTCACCTGGGTCATGTCCCCCTACCAGTTTAGTAAGTTGGGGAGGCACCTACTCATCCCCGGCCTCCAGCAGCACTGTGGCAGGTACTGGCTTCTCCTTGCCCTGCCAGTGCTTCCTAAGTCCTCACTAGCACATTCTGGAGCCCTGCAGACTGCTCAGGCTGGAGTTGCTGGCTCACTTGGGAGCTGCTCTCTGGGATCTGAAATTAGAGACATGTAGCTCTAGTGATTGCTCATTCACCTCGACGAACCCTGTCAAATGTGTTGGGGACCATGATGATGTTAACTTCAGAGCACACAGAAAGGGACGCTAAGCTTCTCTCTGGTCAACACATTTGCACATTTTGGAAGTGTCCCAAAGTGACACGTTATGCCTTCCTGCCTTCTGCTCACTTAGGAGACTCACTCACTCCAATGCTGTCTTCTCCTAGGCATGAGCTCACAATACAGTGACGTCCTCAGTTTCTTGGCTCTCAAGTGAAGGAGAGCATCTTCCATCACTGTATCATGGTATCACAGGACACATGTTAATTTCAGAGCACGGCTGAAATCCTCAAGAGCCAGCAAACCCGTATCGAGTAGTTTTTAATATATTGTGTGATGGCTGGCTGTTGGAGTAACATCTTAGTGGGTGTCTCACTGCCTCTACAACACCCTCCTGCCACTGAACATGCATTTTACCTTAATAAAACAATTACAGGTCCTTGGGTTCCAACTGCTTGCATTATGGTATTTCTTCTCAGGTTAGTCCTTCTGATTTCTCAGTGCAGTTTGACTTCTAATTTTATTTTTTCAGCAATCATGCACCTGAATCCAGCCCTACGTAGTTTATATTACAGCCTTGCTCCCTCCTCTCCATTAAGCAATGATATAATTACTGGATGATTCCACTGTACTAAGGCAATGATAAAGCTTCATTGATTGTTTTTAATAATTATAACTGAAGGTTTCTCTCCCACCCACCAGTTATCAAATAACCACTCTGAGGCTTAATATTAATTACAAACAGTTTGGCCAGTGGCTCAGACACTGCTTGGCCAATGGTTCAGGCACTGTTTGGCCAATGGCTCAGGCTGATTACTAACTAGCTTTTATATCTAAATTAACCCATTTCTGCTATTCTATATTTTACCATGAGGCTCGTCACTTGTCACCCCCCATCTTGCTACTCCAGCAGCTGCTGATGTCTCCCTGACTCCTCCTTTTTTCTCCCTTTATCCATGCTTGGATTTCCTGCCTAGCTATTGGCCAAATCAGCTTTTTATTAACCAGTGGTAATAAAACATCTTCACACCATAAAAGGGGTTATCCCACGTCAAATAATATTATACGTATTCACTTATTTAAATGTGGAACCCATAAACTGTGTTGAGAGCTTCACATGCACCATGCTGTCTGTAAGGTTGTTCATGGAACTTGTGTTTGTGTTTTTCAGGACATACTTTGATAACATAGTTGCCATAGACTCTCTACTTGAACACATCATGGTAGGTGTTTTCAGTTTTGACTGTGATTTTCCTTCCACCCTTATGTTCTTGGTCTTTACTCTTGGTGTGGCATTTTGTGTGTATTTGATGAATATGCTCTGTTAATCATCATGAGTTATGGCTCTTTGAGACCCTCTATCTTTCTTCACCTTTGTTGAGAACTTGGGGAGGACCCTGGGACACCCTGGTTTAAACAGCAATACTTGGAGAAAGCTTGATTTTGCTTCCTGGTCTCCAAGGCACTTTCTGTATGAGTCAAAGTAGGGAGCCCCCTTGATGCTGATCCTAAAGTTCAGTCTCCTTAAATCAAGTCTCAGTGGCCCTCTTCCGGAAGTAGGTGTGCTGAGAACTGTTTCAGTGATTCCCATGGCTGCATCATCTGTGTCTTGAGATTTTTGCATTGGATCTTCTCGTGCAGCCTCTTCAGCATTGGGCATGCTCAGTCGTTCAATTTTCTGAGTTTTTCTAGATGTGTTCCCTCCTCCCTCCTCTGTTGGTCCCATGTGTTGACAGCGCTGTCCACTGTTTCTGTTTGGTGGCTGACTCCTCCGTGTTTGCTTCTGCCCTAGAATCTGCTTCCTTACTGAGTTTTTCCTCATGTTTGACTCACCTTTCACCCACTTTGTGGGCTATGTTGTCCAGCTCCTGAGTCACATCCCTTCATCTGAGCCCTGAATCTGATCACTGATGGTTCTGGAAGGCAGATCCTCAGATATTTAATTAGTGTTTCAGTTACCCTGCTGTTTTGAGCCTGCACGCTGGGGAGTCGGGAGCCTGGGGAGCTATTGTGGTGGCTGGCTTTCTCATTTTCCTGTTTCCTCCAGGCCCTACGTTCCTGATGTTTCTGTTTATTCTATGAGAGTGTTCCTGGTGTGTTGTCTTCACTTGGGTGTTGGTCACCCACCATTGTTTAGCTAGCGGGAGGCTGACAGCCTTGACAAAGTGCTTGGTGACAACACACACTGACAGACTCATGTGCTTCAGAGACGCTGCTGGCAGAAATGTGGCCGAGGGCATTTCAGAGTGCAAGGTGTTAACAGTGATAACTAGAAAGAGAATGGGTTGAGGAAAGAAGAGGGAGTAGCTATGAATAAGAGGGAAAGTGTAGAGGTGGGAAGAATAGAAATAGCAGGAAATATTAGGATGGTATGAGGAAGGAAACATTTACAAAAGGTTACTTGGACACAAGCTAGAAGATGATGACAACAACTAAAATACAGAAATGTAAATAAAAATTAGCAAATGAAAACGAGGGGGCAGTGAGACAGCTCAGTAGTTACAAAGCCTTGCTGATTTGGAGAGTGCAGTTCTCAGCACCCATCTGGTGGCCCACAGCCAAGGGGACCCAGCATCATTCTGGCCTCAATGGCCACCCACACACATCTGCATGCATTAGCACACAGAGGTTCTCCAAAAGGAAGCGAGTGAGATAGAAACAATTAGGTCTGTGTTTCTTCTTAGTTGGGATAAATGTAGTGGCCCACTTGCCTTGGTTGTTTTTGGAGCTAGCTCTGTGGGTGGAGAAGGCACTGTTACTATCAATAATCCAAATAAGTGAAATCCATTGGCCAGTCTGGCCTCCTTCCCGAGAGCAATGTCTGTTTCAGACTCAGTCTGTGTGCTTGGCAGGGCTTTTCCAACTGAGTGACAACCTAGCTCATAGGACGAAGCTTTCTGTGGTTTCCTAACCTGAGACCCCTGCTTGCCGGTGTTCTGGGACTCTGTTCTCCATAGGCCCTTCTTCACTCTTGGAGCTTCAGGTAGAGAAAGCAGAGAGGCGAGAAGGGGCTAGAAACTCTGGTGTTCTGAGCTTGGAATGCCGTCTCTGGTACAGGCACAGCCAGAATCCGTTTCATATACTTCCTATGCAGTCTCACTGTGTAGCCCTGGCTGCCCCAGAGATCAGAGTTCCGTTTGCTTCTGCTTTCAGGATTCTGGGATGAAAGGCATGGGCCTCGATGCTTGGGGTATTCCATAGTCTTTCCAGTCATAGACAGCAACCAGGCCATGTGGGTGCCAGCCATAGTGCTGACAGAGATAGCCCAAGATGCCAGGAGCATCCCGAGAAGCTCCTGGAAAGAACTCGGAGAGCTTGAGGATGCTCAGGAAGAGAGAACAGTTGCTGGTCAGCAGGTCAAGGACAGTGCTCTAGTATTTGAACACCAGCAGGAGCGTGGGCACCTGTGAGCTGTTTGTTCTTGTTGTATTTGCTGGGATCAGCATACAGACTGACTTAACATGCAATGTTCATTGTGTGTCCCCTTCTCCACTCTTGTATGCACACTCCTGATTCCTTCCCCAGTATAGAGCAGCTGTAATCAAAGCGCATCTCGTGCTAAGGTTCGCGGTAACCAGCTTCAGTTTCCCACCAGTTTACTCTGGCTTCTCATTTGCCTCAGATATATGCAAAAAATCTAGTGAACGCCGACCGCTGCGCGCTCTTCCAGGTGGACCACAAGAATAAGGAGCTGTATTCGGACCTGTTTGACATTGGGGAGGAGAAGGAGGGGAAGCCCGTTTTCAAGAAGACCAAGGAGATCAGGTACAGCTGAAGTGGCCGTCCCGGCTTTGATGCAGATGCGCAGGTCTCCTGTCGTCCACTTCTCTGTGCCTCTTCACAGGTGTGCTGACAAGGCTTGTCATACTCTGATATCATTCCCACCAGGACCCGCCTCCTGAAGGTAGTGCTTCTGGGAATGACATTGCTGTGCCAGCGAAACCGCGCCTAGGAAGCGTTAGCGTCACTCCTGGAAATGCCGTCTTCCGGAGGCGGTCCTTTTGGAAATCATGTTGGAATAACTTACTAGTGCTCCCAGGTAGGTAAAGGTCGCTCCAGCTGCAGCCGGCAGGCTCCTGTGTGTAAGAGCAGGGTGAGCGTAACCAACTCAGCCCGTGCTGCTTCCCAACTTGTGAGCAGAGGAAATGGAGGACTTGAATACCTCCTGGACCTGACCGTTGACTGGATCAGCTACCCTGCTACTGCATTTCCAAATGAAAGCCTTCCTTGTTCCCTTAAGTGGCAGCTACTGTCATTTCCATGGACAGATGGCCTTTACTTATTGGCAAAGTCCTGGTGGCTCAGTCTTGTCACAGCCTGGAAGCCTACAAGGAGCACTAACAGGTGGAGGAGTCAAGCATCATGTGCAGATGTCAAGTCCCTTTCACCCTTCGCCTCTTCTTGCTGTGTCCACTTTGACCTTCCATATAATCTCTGCAAAATTCCCTAGTGAAGAACCATGTCCTCAGTAATAAATGTTTTCCATTTGGCTGTAAATGGAAGTTTCTGCCCTGCCCGGTCCCAAAGAAACACACACAAGCTTATATTAATTATAAACTGTTTGGCCTATTAGCTCAGGCTTATTATTAACTAGCTCTTACAACTTAAATCAATCCATAACTCATATCTCTGTTTAGTCACATGGCTTGGTACCTTTTCTCAGTGCAGCCTTTTTTTCTTGCTTTCTCTGCATCTGGGTGGTGACTGCAGACTGAGGCTTTCCTCTTTCCAGAATTCTCCTGTTCTGGCCGCCCTGCCTATACTTCCTGCCTGGCTACTGGCCAATCAGCATTTTATTAAACCAATATGAGTAACAAATCTTTACAGGGTATAAGAGCATTATCCCACAGCACCCCCCTTTTCTTTTCAAAATAAGAGGGGACCAGGCGGGACAGAAACTTTCTTTTACAAATGTCACCGACATGAGGGAACTACATCCATATTTGGCTGCTTCACCTTATTAGGAAACTGATCCCACAGGACAAAATGAGGCCAGCCACAGGCTGTCGCCACTCTGCCCCCGGCACTTTTGTTTCTAGGGTGATGGGTCCTGTGTTATATAGTCACACAATGCTGATGTAAAGGCACCGTCAGGGTACATGGGGCTTTACATTTTGTTCATTTCTTAGTTTGGTTCTAGCTCTGGACTTGCCAGCCTGGTGATGGTCACCCAGTTAAATTGGTTTTCCTTGCCTTGACTTTGGGTATTGCTCACACCGCTGGTGCTGATCTAACTGTGGAAACAGCAGCTCGCGTTTCCGAGCACAGGGAGTAGGAATGGAGGGAACCAGGTTATGGCTTTGCCGGGACTGGTGGATGCTGGTCGCCAGCATCACTGAGATCTGAAGGAACGTCCCCATTCACACGGCTCTCAGCATGCCCTGAAGAGACTGTGGCTTGGCTGGGGGTGTCTAATTTGGGCTCCTGAAAGCATGACGGAATGGGGAGGGTGGAGACTTTACATTTCACACAGTGCTGGTCCTTTGGGGGATGTTTTCATTCTGTGTTGGGTCAGTGCTCTTTTGAGGTTGGAAAACTCTTAGCGTGAGTTGCCGATGTATTTCTTAAGTTACTAATTTTTGAAATAAACACATGAATGATTATCATACATAAAATATAATAATGTGAAAATTATCTATCAGGATGATGCTCTCTCACAAAAATATAACCAAACATTATCAATTTATGTATGGATCCTGATTGTTTTTAAGATGAGCAAACTAGAGACGTGAAAACACCTCTGCACTGTTTCTCTGTGGTACGTGGGCTGCAGACAACAGATACTCCATGTTCAGAAAGGTCGACAGAGCTGAGTCCGGGCTGCACATGTGCAACTTAGTGAGCCCAGCTGTGCGGGAGATCCGCTAAGAAAGCGCACGCACTGTGACCAGTGAGCTGACTTGCTGGTGGTCAGTGTTAGAGCCCAGCAGAGAGTTTTCCCTTTCACTTCTCAGTCAGCGACATTCTCAAGTTAGTGTGTATTAAATCTCCCAACTTGGTTCTGAGCTAGCCCTGTACGGTATTTTCCTGCTTCCCTTTGATGTATCTTATAAGATCATTTAGGATATATAAATATAAAATTAATATGTATTCTTAAAGGTTCAGTTCAACATTTGACAGCGAAAAGCTTTGTAACTATCTAATGAGCATGTCCCTGTTTTTCTATTTCTGCAGGTTTTCAATTGAGAAGGGGATTGCTGGCCAAGTGGCAAGGACAGGGGAAGTTCTGAACATTCCAGACGCTTATGCAGACCCGCGTTTTAACAGGTGAGAGGGGAGTTTGGCCCTTGTCATTTCTCCCTTGAGGTTCCCTGGCTGAACCCTCTTTGATGGGGTCTGTTGTCCCAGCCTGTTATCAGTGGTCAGAGCATGGTCTGAGGCTATTCATACATCAGCATTCCCTGCCGGGCCCTGACAGAGTCAAGTGACAGAGCTACCGCTTCTCCTGGTGGCCTTGTCATGATTTCATCACACTGTGCGCTGTCTCAGTGTGCACACACCTGTCACACAGGAATAAGGAATTGGGTTTTAGATCATCCTGTCTGGTTTGTTGAGTTAGGCCCTGTCCTGCATCCACTATAGACAGAACTGGTGTTGGTTACTTGATCTCTCTGTGCCTCAGAGTGATCCTCTTTGAAATGGGTGTGAAAACACCTACTTGTAATGGCTTCTTACGACTGCAGATAGATCATCCTCATAAGAGCTCGGGAAACTTGGCTACACACAATACAGGGATTGAGTAAGCCACCCAACTGGGATATGGTTACATTGTGATGTTGAGATGGCCATTGAGAACTTTTTAGGCATCTCAGATACTGGAGAACTTGACATCATAGTATATGCACATTTTCTATCCCTTGAAATTAGAAGTCACAAGGTAGATGCCGAGACTGTTAGATGACAATGGTGTTTAGTTGATACATACTCATGACTCACATTGAAAACAGTGTGATTGTCCGGAAGTCTTTCCTGTAGTTAATGATACATGTTAGACACGCAGGACTGCATATAGAACCACAGCGGGATGCTAGTGATGTTTTACCGACAAGCTGAAAATACTAATAACCTTCCATTTCCCCAGACAAGTTTGCTTGTCCTTACACTGCTCAAATACAGAAATTATTGGTCATCATTTAAAAATATTTATGTAAAATTGGGGAGTCAGACTATTGGAAAAATAAAAAAAAGCAGCCATCAGATTGAGGGGGACCCCAGCAAAGCATGTGACGTCATCATCTTAGTATCTAGATTGTATGAGACCTCCCCATAAAGGGCAGGGTCTGTGGGGTGCTTCACCAGAAAGGACGCGTTCATGGCCACTCAGCACATGGAGAGTAAACAGGGCCCAGCAAGAGGCTTTCTAAAGCAGGTGGGAAGGACAAGGATTGTTCAGTGAATGGGACCCTACCACTTTGCTGGTGGGAGTAGATCAGACAGCCCCTTGGGGAAATGGTGGTACAGTTTTGACCACGAGAGATCCCCCAGTCTACCCTACTCCTACACATACACCAGGGGAAACAAAATCATTTGTCCACAGAGAGACTCAGGTGCAAATATTCCCAACAGCTTTACTTACAATAGCCAGTAACTAGCTACTAACCAGTGATGTTGTCCAGTTAGTGGCGAATGTATACGTGAAATGCGCCGCCAGTAGAGACCTGGATGGTTTATAAACATAACGGGTAGAGAAGGGAAGCCCCCGGGCTGGTTCTGTGAGTGGTTCTAGGCAACCCAAAGCATCTCCTCAGATCAGGAATCAGCAAACCCTCCACTCTGAAGGGCGTGCGTGCTACTGAGGAGTTTTGGTTCATGATGAGTGTGATTGTATACCACGTGGGTGATAGGCATGGTGGCAGAGTCCTGCTCTAAACCTTAATGTGAATATTCCCATTTAAAATAGCAAGTTACCAGTCTCATAAATATGACCAGGTTAAGAGGAAGACACTGTTTACCAGACTTCCTGCACTCTCTCCTGAATCACCTACCTTGTCTGTTTACTTAATGATCCCAATGCCGAAAGCCCAGTTGATAGGCCAGGAGCCTCCAGTAGAAAACCATTGTAAACAAGATTGAACAAGCTTGGATCATCGTGAAAATATTTCAACAAAATGCTTTCATTTTTGCACCATCTCAAATCCTCAGTGCCGTTCCAACACACACACACACACACACACACACACACACACACACACACACACAAGCTACGGGAGCTATGTTGAGATTCATGGTGATTGGCATTCATTGTCTTTACCGCTGGTCTTTCATGCTGGTGACAGAACTGTCCCTTCTGTTTCCACAGGGAAGTTGACTTGTACACGGGCTACACCACCCGGAACATTCTGTGCATGCCCATCGTGAGCCGCGGCAGCGTGATCGGCGTGGTGCAGATGGTCAACAAGATCAGCGGCAGTGCCTTCTCCAAGACGGACGAGAACAACTTCAAGATGTTTGCTGTCTTCTGTGCTCTGGCCTTGCACTGTGCTAACGTAAGCGTGCCTCTGGACTCGGTGCTTTTGTTCATGTCTGTTTCCTGCTCATGCCTGCTTTACAAAGGACCTCACAGTGCCTGAGGAAAACTATCTCCTGAGGCTGTGAGCGGATCTCAATGTGTGAGTTTGTTCAGAAAGAATTGTTCACGTACTGATGGAGCATGAAGCACTGGCCTTGCGGCTCATGTCTGCTGGGAAAGGGGAAATGGTGCCTGGTATTTGTGATACACAGTAGACTAGGGAGTCTTTGCTAGGCGGGAGCAGCCACTCATGTCTCTCCGCTGGCCAAGGAAGGTCTGCTTATGAGGAAACTCAGGGTTCAGTTGAATGCGTGTGTGTAACCGTCATGAACGACACCCTCTAGTCCTCTTGGCCACTCTGTCCTGTTCCTGAGGAATAAAATGAGGCTTAGTTTATGCTCTATCTTCTGTGTTGCTATAGGGTTGGGCATGTAATGATCCATAAACTAATAACCCTATAATGGCATTTGGTGCTGCAATTAGGGAAACTGTGGACCTCTTACTGAGCAGTCTCACCAGCGGGACTTAACAGGATACCACTTTAGTAACTTAGAATGTTTGGAGGAATGGGATTGAGTCATTGGGGCATCTCACCTAACCCAGTCGTGCTGACCTCCCAAAGCGGCAGGTTCTGTGTGCCTCCGCAACCCGGCACAGTTCGCACCCTCTGCTCCTAGGACGGGGCAGCTTGCCTTCGAGGGAAGTGAAGGATATACACCAGAGTGGCTGCAATTCATTTTGATTTCTATTGCTGAGATGCTTCTCCTTACTAAAAACTTAAAAAAAAAAAGAAACCACACATTACTTTTGAGGTCTTTTTCAACTCTGAAATATGAGAGCAGTGTGGAGCTCCATCTCTCTTCTCCTCTTGGCCTGCCGAGGCTCTTACTGGCTGTGTCTCACATCAGAGAGAAGAGCACTTCCCGGTGCCTCTCAAAGCATCCTCATAAGCCAAATGGAGAGGAGCAGAGCTCTTACTGTGGGCTCCTTGGAGCCCAGCTCCATGCCTTTGCAGCTGTGGAGGAAAGGTCCCGGGCCCCAGTGTGGACATCGCTCCTGGGCTCTCCTGGCGCTTTCTGAGCCAGTTAGCCTTGCTGTGTTGAGCATGTTTTCAGTAGGAACACTACCTTGCTGCATGCCTGCCCCAAGCAGGTAACTGGACAATGTCAGGTCCCTCCCTCCCTCCTCCCCTGAAAGTTCTGCTTCTTTCTGAAGAACACTCGTGTTTATTAAGATCATAGATATGAAATGACTTTGTGAGGTATAAAGCAGCCTGCAGTTGTTGGCTCTCACTAAGTCTAGATGCATGCGATCCTGGGAACTCAGAGGAGTTTTGCTCCTGAACGAAGAGCCCATAGACCCATAATGGCTTCTAACCTGTGTGTGCGTGCGTGCATGTGTGTGTTGTTTTGTATGTATGTGTGTGTATGTGTGTGTGTGTAGTTTGTAGCCAGGTTCTGTGGTCCTTTTGGATTGTGGTACATGTTCACGAGAAGAGGCAGGCCGCAGGACCATACTAACACTAAATATGCTTTTATTCTCTTTAGTTTATCTTTGGGTGTATCAGGCTTCATCCTGCGGATGGAACCAAAGGGCTTGTCTGGTCAGCAGCACCTACATTTCATCTCTCTAGCTAACTGATCATTAAAAGTACCTCCAGGGGAAAACAACCATTTTGAAAGGCTAGGAGTCTTTGAAATTAGTAGAATCAATTAGTCTTTACAAGCCTTGTGGTTTTAAAGAGGCTTTCAGTGGAAGAGTTGAGCATGGGTCTGGAACAGGGAGGCCCTGAGAATAGACTGACTTTGTGCCTTTTGGGTCAATCGATTCTCCACACCTTGGAGGTATGGGGAAATCACCTTTGTGCTGGGGAGATACCACGTGATGGGCATTGTTCTGGACACTTGACAAAAAAAATCCCCATTTCACAACCATCATGTGGGTGACTCCACCGTACTAAGAGAAGCTGGGCACATGCAGTTTGTGTTTGAACAAGGTATCTGAGGCAGCAGGGCAAGTGTGAGACAGAGTCAGGCATGAATGATAGGCCCCCTCTGTCCTTCTCAAGTTCCACACCTTGTATTCAGCACAGCCCTTTACCCAGCATCTCGTAGGAAGACCAACATCAGGGAGTGATGTTAAGGGCTAACCCCAAGCCCTCTAGCCTGAGTTCTGAGGGTGGGGTGGGGAGAAATGACTCTTACAAGTGCTCCAGTTGTCCTCAGGCCTCCACAGGTGTACCAAGGTACACACACACATGCCCCAACCAAAAGGAATAAATAAATAAATAAATGCAAAGAAAGAAGAGGTGACATTATGTACCACATAAAATACATAGCACGTTAGCTGGGCGGTGGTCGCGCACGCCTTTAATCCCAGCACTCGGGAGGCAGAAGCAGGTGGATCTCTGTGAGTTTGAGGCCAGCCTGGTCTACAAGAGCTAGTTCCAGGACAGGAACCAAAAGCTACGGAGAAACCATGTCTCGAAAAACCAAAAAAAAAAAAAACAAAAACAAAAACAAAAAACAAACAAACAAACAAAAAAAAAACATAGCACGTGGCCTTTAGCAGGGTTTAGTAGAGTTCTCTAGAGACAGAATGAATAAGGAGCACAAAGTGACAGATATTACCTGAGAGACAGGACTTGGCAGAACTGGTTTAGGCAGTGATAGTGGCTGTGCAGTCCCAGGACAGCCTTGCGTAAACTGCAGATCTCAAGGAGCGCAAGCCAAGTTCAAAGGACTCAGAACCAAGGACAGCAATGGCGTGACTCTCAGTCCAGCTGGAGGTCTGAGAACTTGAGGGGTGCAGTTGTTAGTGCTGGAGTCCAAAGCCTGGAACCCGGAGCTGTGGTGTCCAAAGACCCAAGGGAACCTCCGAGAGGCAGCTACAGAGGGAGGGACCCAAGGGAATCTCCGAGAGGCAGCTACAGAGGGAGGGACCCAAGGGAATCTCCGAGAGCGAGCTAGAGAGGGAGGGGATTATGGGGTGGAAGGGGGATGGAAGGAGATGCTGGGGTGGAGGTTCATTTGAGTGAGTGGATCTTCTGAGAACAGCACCCATCTACAGAAGCATCCTCAAGGACTCACTAACCAGAAATGCCTTCCAAGTCCTGGCTATCCCGTGGGTTAAGGTGACAACTTCACCCTAAACACCACAGTGCTTATGGGCGATTTTTACAGAAGTGGGCGTGGTTAGATTTCAGAATAAGCCTTCATGAACAGCATAGAAAACAGGACAGAGATGAAAAAGACTTTGGAATGGAGAGACAGTTTGACAGTCAGGATGAACTTAATATGATGATGTTAAGTGTAGATACTAGCCTGGCTGCTGTGTGGAGTTTTGAAGAATCCTGTGTACCCTCAGCAAAGGCTTTAGAGAAATGCCTGTGGTCGATCTTATGCGATAACTTAATAAAGCTGGCTTCTAACGTGCAAACTTTATCAGTACTGTGATGGCACACATGGATAGGCACAGACTCACGGCCAGGCACACACAGATAGGCACAGACTCATAGCCAGGTGTAGTGATGAGGTGGCTGGCCTGCTTTTCGTCCCACCAGCCTCCCACACGGCTAGCTTTACACTCGAAATAACAACACGGAAACTGTATTCTTTTAAACACTGCCTGGCCCATTATATCTAGCCTCTTCTTGGCTAACTCTCACATCTTGACTAACCCATTTCTAATAATCTGTGTAGCACCACGAAGTGGTAGCTTACCGGGAAGGATTCAGCATGTCTGACCTGGCAGCTGGCTCCATTGCATCTGACCTCACTTCCCTTCTTCCCAGCATTCTATTCTGTCTACTCCACCCACCTATGTTCTGACCTATCAGGCCAAGCAGTTTCTTTATTAATTAACCAATGAAAGCAACAGATAGACATATGACCTTCCCACATCAGCCAGGCACACACGGATAGGCACAGACTCACAGCCGGGCACACCCTTGTCAGTGCTCTGATGCCAAACCTGGACAGGCACAGACTCATAGCCACGCACACCCTTGTCAGTGACAAACACGTATAGGCACAGACTCATGGGCAGGCATATCCACAAAATCTAGACCCAAATCCCTATATATTCACAGATTGCACACACACACACACACCCTTCTCCAAATTTGTCAGGACAGAGAAATCAAGTGTGAGTTGGGTTCTGATGTTTCATCTCAAAGCTATGACATGTATGGCAAGTGTTAGCAGGTGTTCATTCTATACATAGGAGTTGAGTACTCATCCATTTTAGATATGATGCTAGGGACAGTCACCAGCCCCTGAATCTCGGGAAATAAATCCACCCCCTCCCCGTGTGTGTGTGTATGTGTGTGTGTGTTTTTAAGGGTCACTAGACTCCAAAACCTGGACGATGGTCCAGTCTGTGTCTTTTATATCTGTTAACAATCTCTAGCCCCTGAAGCCTAGGCACAGTGATATCCCATAGGTTTACACAGATGTATGTGAGTGTCACCTGCTACTGAACGCAGGGCAGTTTTCCATTCCTTAATTGATCTGTGAGGGGTTTCCAAAGCACACACTTTGTAGTGGCCGTGGCTTTTCCTTCAGGTGTCGTTCTCTGTGTCCTGCCGGTCACTCTCTGATCACTTTCTGAATTCTCAGTGTGTGCTGCGTCACTCAAGACAAGACAGCTGTCCCCTTCAATGCTTGCTTTGCGGCTCTTTTTTTTTTAAAACAACAACAACAACAAAAAGAAAACCTTATTTAACTTAGCCAAAGCCTCTGAGCCTCGGTTTCCCCATGGGCAAGTGATGCTATAGCGTCCCCTAGGATTGGTCTTAGTGCTGTAGATGCTGATGTCTGGCTTCTTAGTCTCCAGCAGATCTAGTCTGCTCCTTTGCTTTCTAGTCTAAGCAGCTCTGGTACCATATCTTAGGAAATATCACTGCAGATGGTTTTACGGAATACCAATTCATTCTTTAATGGCAGCTGGACAGGCTAGGCTAAACTGCCTTTCAGG